ACTCTGTGTATCAATGTACCTAACTTATAAATATCCACCTAAACGGAGTGGAATGTTACTGTATTTGTTTTAAATTTGAAAATCATTGTATTAAAAAAAAAGTTCATCTATATACTACTAAAAGTCAAGTTTGTTTACATGTTTGAATATTTATTTGTTTTTTTTTTTTTTTTTTTTTTTTTTGTTTTTTTGTTTGCCTGATCGACTATCTCGCATGGTTGCACTCATCGTGGAGAGCTGTAAAATAGTATGTAGGTAGAGAAAAAATTTTGTTTTAAGCCAGACTGTTAATCACACATTTATTTAAAGACGTTAATTAATTTATTGATTTATTCATAGGTAAATTAACCGTATTTTTTTAAAAATGTTAATACATTGAATAAACTTTGTGGGGATAGTGACGTCCCTTGATGTGTTTACTTTTTGATACAGTAAAAATGGCGGACTCCATCATAGACTTTGTGGCCCATTCAAAAGTTTAACGCGTTACAAAGCTAATTTTCTGCCGGCTATAACTTTAACAATACGTCCGTTTGCTGTATTTATTACGTTCAAACACTTATATCAATTTTCAACTGCCTTTTTATTTAGTTTTACAATAAATTTCTCTAGATCTAAAGATCAGCTGTCGAAGGAAAGTTATTTTTAGACTAGATCTAGATCTAGAATCTAGGTCAAATCATAGATTTATTAGTTATAAATACAATCCAAAAAAACGAGACTTAAGCAAACCAGTCGTAGATCTAGAATATAGATAATTCTATCTAGATTTAGATAATAATGAGTTTCTATATACTAAAATATTTTAGACCTTTATTGTTTTGTATAAATCTTTGTTTTGACTAGGCCCCTATGCAAATTTTGAAGTGCTGGAGTCAGGGCCTAGATCTATTTGCGTAGCTTAAGATTCATACGCGGCTTCTATACCACTAAGTGTGCAAAATTATAGACGTAAACTCTAGATATAGCTCAGTCGTATATCTAAAATATAGATAATTCTATCTAGATTTAGATAATAATGATTTTCTATATACTAAACTATCTTAGACCTTTATTATTTTATATAAATCTTTGTTTGGAATATGGTAATTTTGAAATGCTCGCTCCGGGCCTATCAGCGTAGCTAATGATTAGATCTAGATCTAGCAAGAAAAACTAAACTTAAGACCTAAGCAAGCGAGTCCTAGAATATAGATCTAGATAGAATGATCTAGATCTAGCTAAATTCAGAACTTCTTTATTTTATATAAATCTTTGTTTGGCTAATTTAAGATTAAATTTAATTTGAAAGTTACTACTACTAGCCTAATATCTAGATCTATGCGCGGAGACTCAAAACTAGGCCTATAGTATAAAAATTCATTTGTGACGTCACGAGTAAATAGCTAAGTTGGTAGCGTAGCCCGCTCTCATGTGGGTGGCACAGGTTCTAGACCAATATGTCAATGATATTTTTTTTCAATTTTTTTTTTTAGATGTGAATGATAAAGTTGCCTATCTGAACTTGCCAGGATACAGGGCAGGTGAAGTAGAGTTCATCTGTTTCTTTGTCCTAAGCATATGAAAGGATAGTGTGGTCAGAGACATGCTCGGCTGGAATCGTTTTTTAAACGATAAAAACATGTTGTCTGAGACTTGGCGGGACACTGGGCAGGTGAAGTAGAGTTGAGTAGGTCACATGTGACGTCAGTATATGAAGGGATAGTCCGAAATCGGTGTTTTCGGTGTTTTTAAAAGATAAGAAACATATTTTTGAATGTGGGGTCTGTTTTTTGTGACGATAAGTGACACTGCAGTAGCGTAGCGAGGAGGGGGGGGGGGGCGGGAGGGGAGGCGGGGGGGGGGGGGGGGGAAGGGGATGCGGGGGGAGGTGGAGGGGGGAAGGGGGGGGCGGGGGGGACATATGTTGGGGCGCCAAAATGGTTTGGAAAAATAAATTGAAAGGTTGAGGGGGGTTCAAATCGAAAGTTTGAGTGGGGGGGGGGGGGGGGGTGCACATCAAAAGTTTGAGGGGGGGGGGGGTCGAAAATCGAAATCTTGGGGGGGGGGGGGTTAAAATCGAAAAGTTTGTCCCCGGGCGCCGGGAAGGGTCGCTAGGCCTCTGAGTGACAGACGTGATGTTTTTTTATGGATGACCCCCGAAACCCACAGTTATCCAACGGATGACGGGTATTCTAGTTTAATTTTAAATATTAGATAGACACGGGACACAATCATGTAAAAGACAATGTGACATGATCATGCTAAAGATATGATTACATTATCATTTTACCCTAATATCGAAGCCCAGTTCTAATCAAAATATAACACGCATTAATGTTTTACAATATTTTATTAGTTTAATCACTATTTAATAAAGCCCAAAAGGTTTCTTTTTCTTTCATTAAATCATGCCAGAAATAAAATAAGCTGCAACACACAGAAGGAAGTTGCTTGCGCTCTTGCTTGATGCCAAAAATAAGAATAATGAAACCTAGAAAAACAAGGTTATTTTATATATTATAATATTAAATCATAGCTATCATAGCACTTTATTCGTTAAAATGAACTTGTTAACAATCGATATTTAAGCCTGAAAACAGCTGTTTCCCGTTTGTGTATGTGCTATATATATATATATATATATATATATATATATATATATACATATACATATATATATATATATATATATATATATATATATATATATATATATATATGTATATAAATATATAAGAAGATAAGATATGTGACGCAGTAGTCGAGCCGATAACCGGCAAAGAAAAATGTAAATTTAGCAAGTTTTTAAAATCTACCCACATAGATGTTCCAAAGCATGAAAGTAAGCTTTACTGATTTATTAAATGTTTGCATTCCTTGTATCATTTACGTTTCAATGCGCGAGTCACCACGAAATAAAAAACATATTTCGGCAAAAACAACAATGGCAACACAAAAAAAATATTAAAAATTTGGATTAGGTTGCCTTTGGCCCCTCCTGGGACATAGGCCGCAGATCAGAGCTTGCAAGACATCTCTGTCCTGGGCAAGTTTCTTTGACTCTCCCCAGGTGTGTATAATCTTCTGGGTGTCTTCTTCCAGGTCACATCAACGGGCCTTTCTTGGTCTGCCTCTTTTCCTTTATTCCAGTGGATTACAAATGTAATCTGCCTTGTTATGGCCAGTCCATCTCCAGTTTATCTGAAGGATCTCTTCTTAGGCTGGCTGTTGATTTGTCTGTTGCCATATTTTCTCATTTCTGATCGTTTTTGGCCATTCGCACGATTTTTCTGAAGCATGCGTTTATAAATCATTTTATTTTCTTCTAATTTGTGGTATTTATTTTCCATATCTTAGCTCCATAGAGTAAAACAGAATGTACTAGTGTGTTAAAGACCCGGGTTTTTATTCCAAGGGTTAAATCTCCAGAACTACAAACATATTTTAGTTGGTTTAATGTTGCTCTTGCCTTGTCCGTCCTTATGATTATGTTTGCATCTGTCCCACCCTGTTTATCAACAATACTTTCAAGTAAAATGATTTTATTCACTTTTTTAGTGGCTTCGTCTATCATTGTTATAGCTGCTTGAGAACTTTTACCTCTGTGGATGTTTAGGCCCAGTTATATAGATGAATTAGCAACACTAATTTGTCTTGAAATTGCTATTGCGTGTGGTAAAGATAGGTGAGGTCATCATCAAAGACCAAGGCGCCCAGCTGGTTCTATAGTGTCCACTGTATACCGTTTGGTCTTTTCATAATCCAGTCAATGGCCAGCAGGCAACCCTGCCTTACTCCGGTCCGTTAAGGGAAGGCTTCTTTAGTCTTTTGGCCATGCAGGACTCTACATTTTAGACCTTCATATAAGCAAAAAATAATGTTGACTATTTCCTGTGGCACTTAACAACTTCCACATTAACTGTCTCTCCGGGCTATCAAAGACTCCATACAATTACTACATTCGTTGTAGCACACAAGTCTGCAAATCTTGCTACATTTTCGTTCATCTTTCCAAAAATTCTGCCCCAATTTTATTCATATCCACCGTTGTCGCTTCCAATCTTAGAATTGTCACCCATGAGTATAAGGATGTTTCTTCTTGAGCGGTTCTGGATAATGCTCATAAGCTTTCATGGACATCTTTGCTGCCATTTGTTAGGGCATAGGCTCTGTATTATGTCCATGTTCATTATTCTAAATTTAGTCTTAAAACCGGCTTTTATCGTCAATGGTCAGTGTACCTCCCATCCAATAACAGCCGCTTGTGCTTAGTTTGACATATTGCGATGTCTTGAGTATTTGAAACATTTTCATACTCGTGGCCCAAGAAAACCTGTAGCTCTCCTATTTCCAAACATTTTTGTCCTTAGCCAGTCCACCCGACGCGCTGATAGAATTGATAGCTATTATATAGCGTCTCATTTTTGTGGCTATTTGGGCTGTTTATCCAGTTTCATACGCTGTACGGACATTCCTAGATCCAATATTGATGGTGGACATTGTGGAAATAATGGTGGTCCAATACATATTACCTTTCAGCATCCGGCTTTATAACTTCTTTATCGGGAGATTTATTCTTTATAAAGTGCGAGCTGTCTGTATTTCTCTCTGAATTTCTGTAGCGAGTTATTTTTTACGGTATGCGGTAGCTGTCATTGCGCTCGATCCCCAAACCTGGACGACCAGGGTGCTAGCTTTTGCCTGACTCCCTACCCTGTGCAGATCTTCACAGCTTGTATGAACCTGCCATTGGTGTAGATTTGGGGGTAATTAGGGAAGAGGCGTAGCAACCTATTCCTGCGCCCAGGGCGGACTATCAGTTTTAAGCCCCCCCCCCCCCTTTAGGTTTGCGGCCATTCTTACCAATTACAGTAGAAGGTACTGTAACCGTTTCTGTTTCATTGCAAGAAAATTTATATAGAAAACAATTACACCAGTGTGTAGTTGTTTCATTTCGTAACTTTGACTGTGAATAATTCAAAACTTTAGAATAAAATGAGATTTTAAAACTAATTTTTACCGAATGTGTCTGCCACTTTTAATCGTTACACCAGGCCAAACCCTCAATGATGGTTCTAGTAAAAAAAAAAAACACGAAAACACACACACACACACACACACACATATATATATATATATATATATATATATATATATATATATATATATATATATATATATATATATATATATATATATATATATATATATAATTTTAGTATTTTACATTTGATGTTTGAAAGTTACCACAAAGTTAAGGGAGATAACTATCGACATTTAAAATTATATATTTTTATATATTTCTGCCGTCTAAATCTCTATTTTCTTTGTATGATATGTTTGTCGCTTTGATATAGTATTTGAGCTACAATATGATCAAGAACAACATTTCGTTGGTTAGATTTTGAAACTTTTATTTAACTTTCAGTTATTATGTTACAATAGATTAACACATATTTCTAGACGGAGTATAATATCGCACCAGAGTACAATTATAGTTCCTTAAACACAATACCAATTTTTGTAATGCCCAAAAGATGTATAAATACTTTAACTTAATTTTACTCTATCTACAGCTCCAATATACTACAAACAACACGTTTCACTAAAAAAAGTCGTTGCAGAGTTTGCTAAAAATATACTGTTAAAATGAACAAGAAGTAAGTTTAACATAGGCTACACGAAAAAAAAAAGACTAGGTATTTTTGTTCTCAAAAATGTTTAACATTTGTACATGAAATAGACAAAAGAAGCTAACAGAAACACAAATTCAATTACTTGCATGTATATCCCTCGCAACATTTTAAGCTGGTATCACTACAAATTTGCAATTCTCCCAGGCAATATATAATCAAACTGTGTATAAAGCAATAAGAAACTTTTTGGTAGTGTAGTCAACATATTATAAGAAGACGGGGCAACAATAAGTAGTTAAAGACAGGGGAGGACTGGACCGCCGGGCCACAGGAAAAAAAATATGTGGATCCCTGCTTTAGAGATTGGGGGGGGGGGGGGGGGAAAGGTGAATGAACAAAGCTGTGCCAGTAGTTTTATTGCTTAAAGTTTTTAAATTTGTATTGCCGGGTAAATTTTTATCTAGAATAAGATGACCATCAGGCGCTGGTGGGCAAAAAATGAAAAATACAAATTTAAATCTGTTGTTGGGGTCTTTTTATTAACTACCAGGGTCTCTTAGCCAGTCCAAACCTGGTTGAAGATGTGAAAAAAAAACATACCGTTTATCTTCCTGTTCCGCTATAAAATGTGAAATAAAAACACATACAGTTTAGTTGTCAAAGAAATGGATGTTTTGTATAATACGAGACTTAAAATTGAAATTAAAAAAATAAATTTTAAAGGTGTTCGTTTTTAAGCGTATTGCTTTTGAAAATGTTTCCGTATCATACAACAGAGTATTAAAATCATTAAAACCTTACAAACGTACCTACACATACACACTTCATATATATATATATATATATATATATATATATATATATATATATATATATATATATAGAGAGAGAGAGAGAGAGAGAGAGAGAGAGAGAGAGAGAGAGAGAAAGCGTAAATGTCTTGAGTGGGATCTCGGTTCGATCTTAAATCAATAGGACGTCACTGAGTCCACCCAGCTTGGATGAGTACTTGACTTACGTAAAGGCGACTGGGCACAGTGTTTACCCAGCCATCACTTCATGTGCAAAGATCAAGCGAATGAATTCTACTTCCCTAATGATCGCTAGTTGAAATTATCTTACTCTCATATCGGGTTTTAAGTACTGCAATAGACATGCACGCAGTAATTCACGAAGGTAATTATATATATATATATATATATATATATATATATATATATATATATAATATCATTTGTATATATAAATTATTAAACATTTCCGATAGACCATTTTTTAATCAATAGGCCCACCTTCCAAGCTAGAAATAAAAAGTAAATAAAGAACATGATATGTACAAGGCAGCCGGCCGAGATTATTTACTCAACTAGTAGTAAAGTATAATTCTAGCACTTTGTTCCTAAGGGGCTCCAGAACAATATATTTACATAAGTCAACGTATACTAATACAACATGTTATCATACTACCTCTGTTGTTCAACATGAACGAAGTGGCTGTTGCAAGCATTACCATCAGCAAAACAGCACCTTTAATGTTCAACATGTTCGTGTTTTCACTTCGACAGCTTCGCACAGAATGCTTAGGTAGCGTGGCTTGAAGGTGATATGCAATTTATTTTAACTTCACAGTAATAAAAATTATTGGTTTTACAAAGTTTATGTTGATGAAATCAGGAAATATAGTTCTCATATTGTTCAACTGAAAGGGTACATGCTGTTTTTTTCATTCCAAAGTTAATAGAGAACCTATGGGAATATTTTTAGATTTAAATTCTAACATTTCGCATAATATGGAGCTTGGTGTGTTAACATTTCTTTAAATAGCGAACCTCTCTCATTACAATCCTGGGGATTGACGCGCTTGTGTACAATTTATCATGTAAAAAGAAACGGTGTTGTGAAAAAAGAAATAAATAGATGGAATACCATTGATATAAATCTGATGTATAATGATTGTTAAACTAAGTAGGCATTATGGGCAATTTGTGTCCTTAAGTTTAATATATAGACCTATATATATATATATATATATATATATATATATATATATATATATATATATATATATATTTGTGTGTGTGTGTGAGCAGATCTGTTCAGTGTCGTACTGCGTTAGGGTAAACCCACTGTCCACTATTCTCAGTGAGTACACAACATATGGACAGCAAATTGTCCAACGGTCACCTCCTGAGATATAGTGCCTTTAGTTCAAAATGTAATATATTTACTTTTAAAACAAATCACAGTGTTGTGTTGTATGTTAGATATACACGCTGGTTAATCTTTAAGTAAAATTCTATAAATTACTAGGTGATCAAAGGGCAGATTAAGAGGGACCTTTAGATTAAGAGGTCTTCAAATATGGTTTTACGTATTACAATTAATTTTCCGTCAGACTTTTGTTTTATGTAAATTAAGTGATCGTTTGAATTTGAATGTTTAATTGACAAGCTATTATATTTACGACATAAAAATCACACATACATGAGTTACTCTCCATAAATAAACATTAAAACGCACCATCTACTTCAATATAAACTTCGGCTGTCATCGCTTTCTTCTAAAATCTCTTTACATAAAACGACGCTCCATAAATATTATAATCTTAATTTCTGGAACACAAATCAACCAGTTTTAAGGATGACTCTTAAAAAACAGACTATAAAACATGTTCTATTTGAATACCTCCTTTTATTAATAACCCGTCTAATAGTTAACAAAACAAGGACCCGCTAGTGATAGGTGAAGACTATAGCTCTTTAAACCAAACATAATTTTAATTTCTTTTAGAACTACTGATCCGGCTATTTGCATCGTTCAAATCACTACGTGTATAAGATTTAAGGTGTTTTTTATGTTAGGCCTAGTTATTTGAAATGACATATTCTTTTTATATATTTCATCAATTAGCATTAAACGTAATCTAGACTCCAGGCGGGAGCTAGTTTTATCTCCTAAGGATAGAAAATTAAGTGATAAAGTCATAACTCATTGACAGTGACGGATTAATGGACTGAACAGGAGGCCACCAATTTGCTGTTAACGACAATCGTTACAAATTTCCTATCAATTTTTGTTTGTTGTTTACAATTTAAATGATTGAATGTTATGACCATATCAGACAAGTTATTTCCTCTTTATTATGTGCGTGCTCTACCTAAAATATTAAATGCCTTTCTGATTGACCTTGCTAATGAAACACAAGTGAGTAAATTACATCAGGATACGCAAGTTTTAAGTAGATTGACCACACATATCAACATAGTACAAAGTGACTGATCTATTATACCCTTGCGCCTTCTATAAGATCCAGACAAGCAACACTAAAACCCTAACACGTTTGAAACATAGGCCTATGTATAAAAGTAGGCTATGGAGAGATATTTTCAAATTTTGTTATCTGAATCAAAATTTTTGCACAGTAATGCTTTTTAACAAATAAATGAACAACATAATCAAGCACGATTTTAGAGGCACTCTAGTTGCAATATCAGGTGAAATTTTGGGGGGGGGGGGGGGGAATGGGGACTAGAATTTTCGGGGGTCGAACACTGTTATAGAGTATATATGTTCTATATAAATTCCATTTTGTTCAGGGGGGTGGGGGGGATAAATCGTGTATTTAACCAAAATCATCCTGTCGAATAATTTGCCAACGTTGATGTCGTCGTACTAGTCAGAACTCTATGAGGAACACTAAAATGGCTAGTGGGAAACTTGATGGTTATCTAACACTCTCAATGCAATCTTCATGATTGTTCCAAGTAGAGTGGTTCAACGTATTCTTTAAATTATTTTATCTTTTATCGACTACACAAGGTATGTTTTCATCCCTTCTAATGCGTTGTGTTATAAAGATGTATTTTTTCTTTTTTCCTAAATGGATTTTGAGCCCGTATATATACAATTTTTCTTTATGTTCGGTATATAGAAATAAAAGTCGATTTTGGTTTTACAACGTTCATCCGATAGGCATGAGACTTTGTTGAGTTCATTAGAACACTCTAGGGGAGGGTTTAGCAAGGGCGGCGTTACGGGAATTTGCGAATTTTTCTACATGTGGTATATACAAATAATAAGGTTTTCACGCGGTAGTTTAGGTAAACCCATGTCCCGGTGTTTATGATCCAAGCGCAGGCATTGTTTACATCTATATAACTCACTTTTAGAAAACAAGGTTACGCGTCTAAGAATATAGGATTGGCAACGTATGGATGAAACCCTTCTTCTATCCCCGCGGTAACGCGTGGGGACGGGTACGCTAGTATATATATATATATATATATATATATATATATATATATATATATATATATATATATATATATATATATAAGTGAACTCTAATTCACTTGCCCCGTAATTATTTAGTATCTAGATCACAGTAATAATGTATTAAAAAAACTTTGCGTTTGCTATCCTGGTCCTAGGTGCTTTGACCACAGGTGTTTTGAACATAGGGGGTTTGACCACAGCGGAGCTTTGACCATAGGGGGTTTGACCATAGGTGCTTTGTTCACAGCCTTGCTTTGACCACAGAGGGGCTTTGACCATAATGGAGCTTTGACCATAGGGGGTCACGGCGGTTGGTCATAAATAAAAAGTCTAGAAACTTAATTGGAAGACATATTTTTGTATTGTGATTTGGAAATGATGTTGGTCATATTTTAAAAGGCTAGAAACTTAATTGGAAGAAAAATATATTTTTGGATTGTGATTTGGAAATGATGTAAGTCATATATAAAAAAGTCTAGAAACTTAATTGGAAGCCAAATATATTTTTGGATTGTGATTTGGAAATAATGTTGGTCATATCAATTTAAAAAGTCTAGAATCTTAATTGGAAGACATATATTTTTTTGGATTAAAGTTTGGAAATGATGTTGGTCATATATAAAAAGTATATAAACTGAATTGCAAGACATATGTATTTTTGGATTTTGATTTGGAAATGATAGTGCTCATATGAGTTATGATGCATGTTCGACTAGGGAAATTGGTGCGCATGAATACTGGTGCGAAGCGATAATATTGAACGAGTGAAAGTGTGACGCGGTACGCAAGAAAGTGACGGTTTAGTGTGAGTTCGTTGTTGCCGGGGGAAGAAGCTTGAGTTAGTCTTGTTCGTGTTATGTTGTCCAGTCTTAGTATCGTTTGTTCAAGCTGTCCGATGTCTATTTCTATAGTGTAATAAATGGAATTAGCAACCAATGTCATTCTGTCAAATCATTTGTAAGCGTTAATGTCGTCGTGTCTCAAGATGTACTATAGCATAGCTAAACATAACCAAATGGTAGTGGTTCTGAAATATAATATTGGATCAGGTAGTTCTACCCTCTCGCTGCATAGCTGTGGTACACATATAGAACCCAGTTTTAACATGGTGGTGCTGTGTCAATAAAAATAGCAATTTATTATTATATTTTTACAATATTAACATATTTTTAGAAAAATCAAAATAGTAATAGAACTAAGTATCGTGTATTTCTTTTACTATAGGGTAAGTTTTGCACGTTAATTGCAAGGAATAGAAAGCGTTTGTGTGCAGTTTTAGTGTTTTTTTTTTTTAAAACATGATTTGTATCAATAATTGCATGCATTTGAAAGGATTGTATATTGTTTTATTTATGCTGTTGTTGAGAAATTTATTAAAATGTTTTGCCCAGATAAACATGACGACATTAAATATAAGTAGATATAAATGACCACATGTTTTGATTATGAAATGAAAATTTAACATCCTTTAATAACAATGACTGCACTGCACTTATTTTAAGTCAAACTTTACTTGAATGCTATGATGGTCCCTGGCGATCCTTGAATAATCCATGTACAGTAGGCTGTCGTATAACTCGAGAGGTACCCTGGGCTGGTTATTGTTCCTGTCGCGGTCGTCAATGTACTACCGCATTCTTTAATAAAACAAATATAAAAAAAAACAATTTTATAGCTACACGCTTTTATAAAGATCGAAAATAAGAAAATAAATAGAATTTATTTTCTTTACTAAAAGATTTTGTCGCTAAAATAAGTAAAAGATATCACTGGCGACAAAAGCTTTTATTAAAGAAAGCAAATTAGATTCATTTTCTTTTTTTTCAGTGCATTGTTGCTATAAATCTTTTTATATATTTTATATTTTTCTTTTTTCAGTGATTCCTAATGTATAAAGTTGACATGACTAGAAATTGTTGCTATAAAACTCCATCTGAAAGACGGGTATGCCCTTTGAGCGCAGCCGTCCTTAACCATAGTTTACATACAAAAGCAAACTGATAAAATGAAGAATAGGTCATAATCTTGCAACCTTCACATACGTTTCATATCGCTTAAAAACTATATTATCTTCCCCTAAAGGCCTTCACTAAATCAACCCAGTACTATAGTTGTAAACATCCGGCGTGAACCACGAGTCATCAGATAGAGCCTAGCTAGTTATCTTCCTTTCTCTTATTGACTAACTAGGCATACTTCCTAGCTTCGCTTAGGTTTTCAAAATCATTTGAGAATTTGAATACTTAATTATTAAGTGATGGATGAGGTGTGGAGTGCTTAAATTTAAACAGTAATGCTAATTTTAGAGAAGATGTTGTATGTTATTTAACAACCGTTTTCAAACAAGATTTCTAAAAGTTTGCAATGTATGACCAAAATGGAATTAGAACTACAGAGGTTCCATGAACAGTATATCTCATAATTTATATTACATTGACTTATAAAATTATTTTTTTAATTTAATTGTGATACTTACCTTAATTAACAACTTAACTTTTTTTACTAAAACAAACGATATGCTTTGTCATTTTCTGTTTCTGTTTAAAATAGTATACACTTATTTGAAAAATAATTATTTAAAAAGGTTACATCCCTTGAAAATGGACCAAACGACGTATGTCTTTGTTTACTTTTTTTTAACAAACAGTTGCTATGCTTATTTATGAAAATACGATATATGAACATATTTAATGACTACAATGGTTTTTCCAACGGGAGTAAATTTTTTTGTTATCCTCCAGGGTCGGTCTACGACTTCAAATAATATTAATGGGATCGTTCGTCAATTTATTTATATATATCTCATATAAGGAGAATTTCACTCGCGGTCATCTTTTAGCCCTGGTCGAGGGATTTGAGTCTGACCAACAGTTTTTCTATACGGCCTAGTCATCTATAGATATGTATGCAAAACATTAGCATGATGTACAGAGGTTAAGAAACCTAAAAATTGTGTTGAAAATTCCCTTATTTTTCCCATAAAATACAAAGATTATATTGGGAAATACGACTGGTCAGTTTTGACCCCCGAGTTTTCGGGGACATGGCGAGTTTTTTGTGACACCACAAAGGCGTTCTCCTACCACCTCACAAAATTTCAAGGGGGGTCGTCGGAGGAAAACGTTCTTTCGTAATAAAGCTCATATAAAGAGAACTTCATTGGCGGTCACTTCTTAGCCCTCTTTTACATCCCACACTGTTAAATCGTATCTTAGAAACGATGTCTGTTTTAATCAGAATTTTTTTAAGATAGTCTTCATTTACACGTATTACCCGTCCTAAGCTTGTTCTGTTATGGACAATATCCGCACTTTAGTAGAATTTATCCACATTTAGACCTACATTTCTAACTATTTTAGATACAGTTTTACTGAATCGACAAACATATGTAGATATTTAGTGTCAGAAAATAGACGTTTTGACGTTAATATTAAACTGTCGATTTGCTTTGGAAATATTTAACAAACCGCTTTGTTGAAAATTGATTGTGTAAATTTCAATACTGGTATAACAGTATAACTTTTACCCCTAATACAAGCTATTGCAAACATTAATTAGATGTGTGAACATCAATGGACATTATTTGTAAGGTGAAAAGTACATTTTTAAAATTAGTTTTTAACTCGTAGATTTAAATATATCTGAATATTAGCTATTGAAGTCGGGATACTATTAACAGACACAGACACAGACGCAGACGCAGACGCAGACACAGACACAGACACAGACACAGACTTAGACACAGACACAGACACAGACACAGACAGACACAGACACAGACACAGACACAGACACAGACACAGACTTAGACACAGACACAGACACAGACACAGACAGACACAGACACAGACACAGACACAGACACAGACACAGACACAGACACAGACACAGACACAGACACAGACACAGACACAGACACAGACACAGACACAGACACAGACACAGACACAGACACAGACACAGACACAGACACAGACACAGACACAGACACAGACACAGACACAGACACAGACACAGACACAGACACAGACACAGACACAGACACAGACACAGACACAGACA